TACGGAAAAGCAGGAAGTTCTTTACATTTGTGTGTCTGAAACCAGCTTGTATTTTCTTTTTAGCCCAAACACAAGTCATTGGAGTTAATTCTGCCAATCAACTAATCAATTCATCTACTAACTGTTTCATCACTATCATAAGATCCTTGACCAGGTCAGCCAGGAAGATCACAAACGGATGTGATTCCTTTTCATCAAACCAAATGAAGGGAGAACCTGTGGCCTAATGAACCATCGACACAGTAAACCTGCACGTTTGTCATGGAGGAAAACACAGTGTGATTGAATGGACCATTGAGGCGGTACCGGAGCTCAGTTCTGACCTGATGGTTCCTGTTTGTGTGACTCCTTCAGGTAGTACAGGGCCTTCTGGAAGTCTCCTAGGTGGTAATAGGCCACGCCGGACCGGTACAGAGCTTTGAAGTTCTTTCCTTCCTTGTGAAGCACTTTCAGACAGTATTCCTTCACTCGTTCATAGTTCACCAGCTCCATTTGCAATAGGCAGGCTGGAGTGGGGAGAAGAGGAAAAGTTACTGATAACACTGCATGAGCCAATGTTTGAATTTCATTATACAGCAGAAGTACTAATATGTGTCCTGTCAAGATACGATGGATTCTTTTTTTTTTTTTTTTTTTTTAAATATATAACAAATATAATGACTGAATTTGCCAAGGGGCGAACAAATACACCATCAATGTGAAGTGGATATCGAAAAGAAAGTGAGGGGGATAGTGGGGTAAGCCTGAGAATGACTCATACTCTTATGAATCATTCATGAGCTCTGGAGTATTCCCAGTATCTATCTCTCTGTTGAAAAGAGAACAGATAAATGTGTGTGTGTGTGTGTGTGTGTGTGTGTGTGTGTGTGTGTGTGTGTGTGTGTGTGTGTGTGTGTGTGTGTGTGTGTGTATGTGTGTGTGTGTGTGTATGTGTGTGAGAGAGAAACGACTCTCACCGGCCAAGCTGTTGTAACACTCCAGCTCTGCATTCTCCATGGCCCCCTTTTGCTCATCTGTCAGCGTGCTGGACTTGCTGATGGTCGGCAGGAGGGGAGACGGGGGCTTGGAGCTGGTGTCCGGATCCCCCAGCACCCTGCACAGCCCCTTTATCTCCAGCAGAGCGCGGTGATACTTGCCAATCGCCTCTCGGTACTTCTTATCCTTGTAGCACTGGGTGCCTTGGCACTTGAAGTCCAGCGCCCGCCTCACGACGTCGGCTGGCTCGTTGTGGGATGGCTGCTTCAGCATCGACCCACCATGATGCCTCTGCTGCTGGAGCTGCTGCTGGTATCTGGCATCTTTGGTCCGGCTGCTGCTGCTGTTGGGAGGCTGAGCGCACTGCTGGAGCCTCGGGGAGCCGCCGCCGTTGTCGGTGTGGCTGCCTTTGCCACCGTCCACCCTGCCGTCGTGCCCAGCCTGGATCACGCTCATTTTCGACGTTATTAGATTAAAGCTGCCCTGACTGGCCCGGCTGTAAATTAGCAGGGGAAATTGAGGCTCCTTCACTGCATCTTCTCGGCCGTATAGTCGCGTCTTCGCCTCGCCAGTGTCGCAGCTACGTTTGTCTGTGCGCAACCCTGTGCGATGCGCGCTCCTCCGTTGTAGCCTGTTCTCGTATTTTTCCCATCCGATGAGCCGATTGGTCGATAAATTCAAGGCCAGTGGTCCCATGGGGGTCCTCCAGCAGGAAGAGGAGAGGTTTGATCACCTGTTTATTTGGAGATAATGTCATTATCAGTTTGTTTGCGAACTGGACACACTTTTTATTTGAAACCAGCCAGTGTTTTCTCTGTAGACAATGTGGATGTTTTATTCATAAAGAGAGATTGTAATCATGTATTTAGCGAGCCTTAGGCTAATTGTTTTGAATTTTTAATCATAAATATGTACAGTGAAATATTGTCCTGCCTTAATAGACTTTCAATATATTGTGTGTTTCTTGTCGTGTAGGACTTATATACCAAATAAAAGACAAAACCTTTTATGACTAATGAATGACTCATTTTATCTGATTTTTCTGTCTCTCTGGGCCTCTTATGCAAGATCATTGCAAGGTAATATTTCAGCCTCCTAAAACCAAACATCTCCCAGTAAGAGGACCGCTTGATTATGCAGTGGATATCAACCCTCTCCTTCCACTTAAATATTCCTTTCAGTCTCTTTCTATTATCTCAAATTGGAGGAATGCAGTCATCCCTACTCAGATGCATCAGATAAAGATCATCCAGCATGTCGTCTCTCGCCCGAGCAGCCTGCTGTCCCCTCTGACTGCTCCCATTCTGCGCAGCCACTTTGGACAGACTCATGACAGGCTACAGTCCCTAATGACAGGCTATGATGTCATTCAAACCGGGGTTTATGCTGGGTAATAGTGTTACGAGCCTCTATTATGAAGAGGGGAGCAGACAGCTAGGTGATGAATACGGTCGTCCCTTTGCTCTTACAAAAGAGCCTCTCATTTTAACTGCCATTTTATCAACAGTGGCTGTGTAAAGCTTGTGTATTCACCACGCTTAAATCCATCTGTCCCGTCACACTCACAGGGCAATGAACACAGCTGTCTGGGTGTGTCTCTGGAATTTCAGCTCTCTGGAGCAAATGCTGCTGATCAGAAATAAAGACCATGGACCATGGACGCTATTAAATATGATGTCTGCAATATCACACGCCTTTAAACTGGGACCAAGATGCACAGCTGTTGTCATGAAAGAGGCACAGACACTTCATCTCTCTAATGCAGTTCAATTGAATGGTTTATAAGAAATTAAAGTCTGGATAAAACATTGCCAAATTAGGTTTTTTTTAAAAATTACTATGTAATTCAGACTAATAGTGACATTTTGAATCAGCGTGTGTTTCCATGTACCAAATATATATAGTTATAAAATATTAAAATAATAATAAAACGTTTAAAATGATTATTTATTTTCTCAAAATGACTTTACATTTCCAATTTAACCAATTTAACTAATCAAGACGACGGCGTCATCAAACCACGACCTGAAAGCACAGCGCTGACGTCGTTTATGTGAGACAATCTGTTTACATCATGGCGGCGGTGGATTTCAGATGTAGCTAACAGCTAACAGCTAAGTCGCTGTATTAGTTAATAGAAAGTCAATTCCAGTTGGTTTTTTTTCCTGTTTTTTTCCCCCCCTTGTAGTGATAGTTAATAGTAAACGTTTTGTGTTTGCTGATTTGCTCTCGGAAGCTTCCACTTGTTCATTTAGCTCAGAAGCTAACGATTAGCATCTCCTCCGCTCTGATTAGCTCGTCGGCTAATGCTGCTAACGATGGCCGGCTGCCAGAACGGTCAGTTTTCTTTCGCAAATGATCCATTAAAGCGACAAATCACATCACACAGAACCTCTAGCAGTGTTTCCGTCACTGTGAACTGCTCACACCGGAAGATAATGACCTCCTTTCACTGCAGCTCTGGTTGAAATGACTTCTTTAAAATGTTCTTTGTGTCTGTGATTGCTGCTGGTGTCGGTAGTAAGTATAGTATGTGTGATTATAAAGCGGCTGCGGCGTATTTATGTTGGAGAAACTGGGTTAACATTAGGCTAAATGCAAAGGAGAATGATTTGACTTGATTTGGTTTTGTTATAAGCAAATTGGCCAAATATTCACAAAACTAAATAAAAGAATTAGATAGATAGATTGATGGATAGATATTCCTTTATTTGTCCCACAATGGGGATAAATGTTATAAATAAACAGTAAGAGTCGAGAAATAATAAAAACACTATTTACAACAACAGATAACACAAATAATACAAATAATAGTAGCAGCAGTTGCACATGGGCAATAGATTGCACAGTCGTTATTGCACATTATTATTATTATTATTGTTGATGCAGAGGGGGGGGGGGGTCTACTGGGAGCAGTGCTGGTTGTAAAACTGTCTGACAGCAGCAGGAAGGAAGGACCTACGATATCTCTCCTTTCACACGTTTGGGGTGAGGGAGTCTGTCGCTGAAGGAGCTGCTCAGTGTACTGATGGTGTCCTGCATGCGGTGGGAGACATTGTCCACCTGCACTGAGTCGAGGGGGGCAACCCAGGACAGAGCTGCCCTTCTTAATCAGTTTGTCGAGTCTCTTCCTGTCGACTGCTGAGATGCTCCAAAGAAAAATCAAAACAGCTACATTAATTGTTCACGGATGATCATTAAGTCCAGATTGAAGCTCTTTTTTTATTTTATTTATTATTATACTTTTTAATACAGAGCGACACATTATAACCTGAAACCTAAAAGCATTCAGTAAAATCCTAATATCAGTTCAAACCTCACACGTAACATATGTAAATGTACAAGAAATGATCCAGCCCTCAGCTCAGAATATTAGTAAAATGTATTGTTCAATTTGTAGACAACCTTCTCGGGATATCCTGGGTGGACAGCGGTTGGGTACCGATACTTAACCCTGGAAATGTACTGGACTACTTCTCGGAGAGAAGCAACCCCTTCTATGACCGAACCTGTAATAATGAGGTAGTGAAGATGCAGCGGCTGACTCTGGAACATCTGAAGTAAGTTTATCTTTCACAGTGTGATTTGGTGTTACTTGGAAGAGAGTTGCACATAAATGAAATAAAGGAATAAACTGTCACATTAATCTAAGAGCTCAAAAAAAGATACTGAATGTGTTGTATGATTCATGCTAATTAATTAATTTGTGGACCTTGTACAAAACCAAAAATTACACACACATATAATAGTTATTAAGACTTATACTGTTGTAAAGGTTAGAAATATATTTTTCCAGCTGAAAATGTGTCGTAATATACGCACAACAAAAAGCAAACATTGTCTCTGTCTTATTTTCAGTCAGATGGTGGGAGTGGAGTACATTCTTCTTCATGCTCAGGAGCCAATTCTTTACATAATCCGTAAACAACAGAGGCAGTCACCAACACAAGGTGAGCAGTGTGAGCGTCTTATTGAATTTTCAAATAATTTAATTGTGGCATACTCGTCAGTCAGTGTACAAGGTGCATGTTTTAAATCCAACTTTATTGTCATTGCACATAGACAATCAAATACAGTTGCAAAGTATGTACGAATGTGTAGATAAACAGTAAGGGGTAGATGTAACATATACAGCATAAACAAAAAGATACACAGTGAAGGTATAAGTACTAGTAATGGCAGTGTGACATATGCAGAATAAACAGCTGGGAGCTTGATATAAATACAGTGTATACACTATGGATCAGATACATACTGCGTAGACAGTAGTATAAATATGTATGGGTAAGTGTAGAGACAGACCTAGTATAATTGTTAAGTGAACGGCGAGGGAGAGACCGTTGTATTGTAAAAGTTCAGCCGCTGGAGGAAGGTGTGTAGGGGGTCAGAGGGCATTCAGGGGTGGCAGCTATCACCGAGGTGTAGAGTTCATCAAGGTAACAGCTGAGGGGAATAAGCTGGTCCTGGAACGGAGAGTCATGTAGCGTCTCCCAGAGGGAAAGAGGGCAAACAAAGGAGAGCATAAGATAAGCAGCCTAATGAGTGTATCAGGTGTATCAGTGATACAGCTGACCACAGGTGTCCTCCCTATCATTATCCAGCTGCATATAACTGGTTACTGGTGACAGGACACTGATAATACAGCCATCTGAAACAGTCATTTTAATGAAATGTCAGTTATTAAATTTGTCTTTGATTGATTGATTGATTTATATCTTGCCACTTCTACTGTATGTTTTCATCCTCCAGTCATTCCCATGGCTGACTACTACATCATAGCAGGAGTGGTGTATCAGGCCCCAGACCTGGGAACAGTTATCAGCTCCAGAGCGGTGAGAATCTATAGTACTATCCTATAAAATACATTGGGAACTGTGTATTTTAAAGGCAGTTGAAGGGGGGGGTTGATGTGTGGACTGGTTTTATTGTGAGTAACAACAGTCACATATGTTTTAGCTTTCTGCAGTCCATGGAATCCAGTCTGCTTTTGATGAGGCCATGTCATACTGCCGCTATCACCCTTCCAAAGGATACTGGTGGCACTTTAAGGACCAGGAGGAGAGAGGTTAGGCTTTGGCACTTGATTTGAATTTTACAGTTCAGACATTTATGTGGTACTCTAATTAGCAATGGAATAATTCCTGTAATGAGATCACAGATATTAGACTACAAGAGTCAGAGCTATGGGCACTCAGTGATCCCAAAGTGTTTATAATAATAAGTTCAAGTTTAATATGATGACTTTGGCAGATGCTGATTAACAAAACTCCTGTTTAACAGAAAAAACCAAGCCCAAGTCTAAGAAGAAAGAGGAACCGAGTTCACTGTTTCAGAGGCACCGTGTTGACACACTGCTTCTGGACCTCAGGTCCAAGTTCCCACCAACATTCTACCAGGTAAATGTTACATCGACTTGAAACAGATATTATTGGTACATTTTCTCTGTCTTTTTATTTGAAATTTCTTATAGTAGAAATAATTTCATGTTAATGTGATTGGATTTAAATAACATTGTTTTTCTTTCTGCAATTGTAGCCTAAGCCTGGGGAGAAGCCTATTCCAGGTATGATCAGTTACATTACATTCAGTTCCTGAAGTTACATAATAAATAGTGTCTGTGGACATCAGGGTTTAACATTGAAAGGGCTGTAAATTCCTTCTGGAGAAATCCAAATCCATGACCATAATACAGTGCAAACGAATGGCACAGCAAGTACCGTTACTAACGTTAAACCATGTTGTGGGTTTGCAAACTGTCGCTAAAGTTGCTTCTGCACAGTTAACATGCAGCGAAGATGAGACAGTTTCCCAGAGCCAGCGCACCAGCTCCAGACAGCAACACTCACAACTCCCCTGCTACTATAGCTAACATCACAACAACAGCATATCTTGGCAAACTAGTACGCCGAATGTCCGTGGGCAAGTAAGGTAACGTTACTTGACACACAAACCCTGGCGGGAATAACAAGTTAGTGTTGTGTGTGGCTTGGTCCGATCCACTTTGTTTGTTTCCCATTTACAGAGACAGGGCTGTGTACAAACACCAGATTTTTTTTCAAACACAGAGCAGAAAGCTGGCAGACTGTGAGGGAATATTTGCTGTATTTGAAAGAAAGTATATTGGATTAGAATCCCATTACCTAGAATTGCTTACCCCACCTATAACCCAGGGTCTACGTGTAATATTGTCCGTGGTAGATGGTGTTCAGATTTGGAGTTTTCCTCTAATTGCATGTTCTTGTATTGCAGTTGAGGTGAAGAAAGAGCCCGAACCCCCCACAGAAACTGTAAAACAAGAGGAAAGAGAACCAGCCACAAAGTCCTCCGCCCCAGCTCCACCAAGCAAACCGCCTCCCGAGAAGAGAGCAAGGCTACAGTGACATTCTTCCCGCACTCTGAGAAGATGGAGCAAGGAAATGTGAAGTCCTACAGCACTAACTCGGAGAACAGCTTGGGAATATTTTTGTTCCCTTTTCACTCTGCCCATTTGATCGGTTTACAGGATGCTAATAATGAGCTGGCACAAGAAGCGTCAGTTGCTTGTCTCGGTGCCAGGACTACTTTTACACTGTAACCTTAGTCCTGCACACGTGATGGGTTTGGCATCATGGACACTTCAGGCAGCTGTACTACGCACAGGGGGTTAAATGCTTGATGTCAGCAGGCATTTAGCAGTATTCGCTAAGGATGAGGTTTTTTGATGATAAGCTGACCTCAGCATTAGTGTCGGTTTACGGTTGACATCAGCATAATATTTGTGTGGTAGTGACTTCAGAGGACAGTTTAATTCCCAGTCTGCTTTTCAGGGTGATTTGTCATGAAGCATTATCTCATCTGAAAAAGCAAAAAAAGGATTCTTGATTTGAGCACCTCTCTTTAATTTCAAACACTTTCATCTGTTTGTTGTTTTTTTTGTTGTAAAGAATTCTCTGTGTTTTGTGTTTTTGTATTAAAATGTATCAGCTTCTGTATCCTCATGTGTTTGATTGTTGACAGGTTATCTCGAGTCATGCTTGATCACAGTTTTTCTTCATGATCTGAACAAAATATCATCTAAAATACAATACAACTGTAGCTGACTCATGATCAACAACTCATAACTCAAAGCATTTATATTATTCAACCTTGCTGGAAAGTACTGTAGTTACATACAATCTAGAGGCACTTGTATTTTACCAGTTTATGTCCTTTTATAGTTTTAATTCACTACATTTCAGGGGGGAATATAGTTTTTACTCCACTGCACATAACAGCTGGAGTCACTGGTTAATTTACAGATAAAGATTTATCATTAAAAAGCACAAGCTTATAAAACACACTGCATTGTTAAAAAAAAAAAAGTAATGCAGCAGTTGAACAATATTTTAAATAATATTAGAGACCATCTGAGTTGGGGAAACACTGGATTAAAGCACCAAAACTGTATAAATATAAAAACTAGCTCCACCTGAACTTACACTGTTGCTTGTTTACACACTAATAATCTAATAATGAAATATAGACTACATAAAGTCACAGGGGCACTTTCTCTGCAGTACAAGTACTTTTTATACTTATGTACTTTTACATAAATAGTATTTAAATTGTACCTTTTTAGAAAGAAAAAAGAAAAGGGTATAAACTCAGCAGACAATGCCACAGTTTGACCAGCAGGTGTCGCCATTAGGTCACATTTGCTCCGAGCTCCTAATTGCCCTAATAATCCATTTTAATTTCTACCACCTCTGCGTGGAGTCAAGTCCGGGTCAAACGGGCGCAGACACTAACAGTAAATCACTATTATTATATTAAAAAAAATATAACATTATATTGTTATTCAATGTGGACAGCTGGCCGCGTTTGCCGGCTCCTACCGCGAAACGATGCCACGAAGAAGAAGTTTCTCGCAGGGCGTGGTGGGATAGGAGTCTCCTCTGTGGAGGACTGGAAACAGTGCCCCAGCTGGCTGGCTAGCTAGCAGCAGAGAAGATGGCTGCAGAGGGGATTCTCGGGGCCAGTGTCTGAAAACATAGCGCCGTTTGTCATGTTCAGCGACGACTGAGCCAGCGTGTCACCCCGGTTGTTCCCGTTGGTGGTCGGGTTCCGCTCGGATTCGTCGGTTTGGGAAGAAGAAAGAAAGAAACAAACATGGGGTCGCAGACTCTCCAGATCCTGAGGCAGGGGGTCTGGGCTTCAGTCACAGGCGGATGGTACTACGACCCCGATCAAAATACATTCGTCAACGCTTTACATCTCTACATCTGGCTGTTTCTGCTGTGTTTCCCCTTCACGCTGTACATGGTGAGTTTCTTTTTAAACCCTCTCTCCCTCTCTTTTATAGTCTCTTCATCCATGTTTCTCTTTAAACCGGCTGTTGACAACGCCAAGTTAGTGTCCGTTAGGTTCGCTGCCAGTTGGATACTAACGGTCGGTCTCGGTCTATTATCTGGAGCGCCAGTCAATGTAACGTCTGCTTTAAAGTCACCAAACGTCGGGGGATATTTCCACTGCAGTCAAAATATTCTGTAAAAACACGAGATTGGTTGAGTTATAAGCGTATTAGCTTCTTTCAGGAGACGAAATTGATAAAATGATCTTTAAATGGCTGCCCTCTTTTTTTTTTTTTTTTTTTTTTTTTTTTTTAAAGTACCATCCACCAACTAGATTGGACCAGATTGCGCTTTTGTTTGGATGCTTTGCTTTTTTATCAAAGTGATGCAGGATATTAACAGTCGATGACACTGTGTCAGGCTGTAATCGGTGAATTTAATTCCCCCCCCCTCTCTCTCTCTACACACACACACACACACACACTACCCCACCCCCCCCACTCTCTTATCTAGTTGTTTTCCTCCCGTCGGTAGTGATTTGCGGTATCACCAGTTTTCAGAAGCTACCAGCTGTGACTGCAAGAGCACAGCTGACAGGGATGTAACACTAATCTGGCAACTTTAATGTTCAAGGAGCTCATTCAATTTGCCCTGGCTGCTGTTTGCCACCAGAGGTCTTTGTTTGCCCTGTTTGTGTTTACTTTTGCACACATAGCTTTGCCCTCTGAACTGTCAAAAAAAAAAAAAAAAAAAAAAGGGACCTGACAGCTCATTGTAGTTGTAGTCCACCTGTGCATGTTATTTATGGTGGTTTAGTCCCCACAAATGTAGCTGTGGAATCCAGATAGGTTGAAATATCAGTGTGTTCACTAGTGTTTATCAAACACAGCTTTTATTTATTTATTTATATATTTTTTTTACAAACTCAGGTCAGGAAATGGCTGTTTGCTAAGCATACTAACTTCTATATTGAGAAGCTGATGTTTCAAATCGGGGTTTGTGGTTTCCGCTCTATTCCTGGCGTGGAAATACGCCGGTCAGCTCTGTGGTTTATATTGAGCCACAGGTCTGAGTGGTGCTGCTGTTTGTAATAACTGCAAACAGATGCAGCGGGATATCTCAAGGACAACAGAGACGCAGAAGATGGAGCTCAGACACCTTTGTGGTAAACACACACAGGTAATAGCCTCCTTCCTCGGCAGCTTCTCTGTTAAAAAAAAAGACACGTTAAAATGATCATTGAATGCAGTTGTTTGTTTTTTTTTAAATGCTGCCAGTGTGCGTCATAAGTAATTGGCATAATGGGTACAACAATGCATTTACATTTCTTTCAGCTGGGTTAAGGGGAACTAACTCGGATGCAGTAGTTGGTTGTGATTCACCGATTTGAGTTCTGTCAGCGCTTCATGTGTCGACTGTCACCCCTCATGACCGAATGTCCTTCAGCAAGAAATTAATAAACTCATTACCTGCTGTCTCATTGTGTTTTTGGATAAAAGTGTCAGTTGCCGGTGAGAGCATGAAAAAAAAATAGAGAAAATGCATCTCTCCTTCCTTTTTTGAAAGTCCTTAATCAAAGCACAAACTTGGGCAGTCATAATAATATTACATTATGATATCACTCCTTTGCCCTTCAGATAGATAAAGCAAATAAAATAAGCATAAAATGCAACAGGAAGGAAAGCAGGGTGCAGCGCTTATGTTGCTAGTATGAGTGCAGTCAGCGTCATCCTGTTCCTCTCCGCCCCACATTGTTGACTTCTGCTTCTGTCTCTAATCCCAGGCCCTGCAGCCAACCATGGTGATTGTGGGAATCTACTGTGGTGTGATTGCTGCCATGTTCCTGCTGCTGAAGATGGTGAATTACCGCCTCCACCATGCCCTGGATGAGGGGGAGGTGGTGGAGCACCAGGCCAAGGAGAGTCAGGGCAGCAGAGGTGGCACTGAGGGGGCTAATGATGGCGGTGTCACCCGTCGGGAGGACAGCAATGGCCCGGGGTAAGTTAATGTCTCACGCAGGCCGGTGGTGGATTGGATATCCGGAGATGTTGGACAAAGACGCTGCTCAGATGATGAGGCAGAAAAAGTATGCTGTAAGGGCTGTGTAGGAGTATCGTGTGTTAAGTAGAAGACGTCGTGCTTCCTGATCGATGATCGTGGCTGTGGAGTCAGTCAATCCATTTAAAGGTGATATAATCTGGTGTTGTGTATTGGAGCTGAGGTCAAAGGTCTAGCCCTCGAGTTGGGACACGTAGAAAGACACAGGCTGCTACAAGGAGAATCAGTGTGTTGCTTTAAAGACTTGTAGCTATAATAGCAGCAGTGAGGGGCAGTTGGGAGAGAGACCTGCACACAGAGGCGAGAGGTTATTGTAGGCTCAGTCATTCAGGAATCAGTTATTTCCCCATTTTAATTGCTTTTAATTTAATAAAACTGGCCACAGTATTGCTTGTGCTAAGAGGTGTGTTGTTGAGCTTTGTTTTCAGATGCATTAAAAGATTGTTTCTTGGTTTTTTCTGACACTGAACACTTACTTTGTTCATATGAAGCATACAAAGGTGCCCTGTGGAGTTTTTCTTGTAGACAATGTTTCTGTTTACATTCAGTGTTACTCGTCGAAACACAGTGTTTGTATCCTTGAGGCTTAACAAATGAGTGGACTGCATTTCCTTCCTGATAAAGCATTTTCAAAGCCTATTTAGTTTATTTATTTATTTATCTTTTGCATTGTTTACATTTACGTATACTTGCTAGCGGTGTTTTTTCCTCCCGGCTTTTGCTGGTGCATTGCTGTTTCTTGGTGTGTTACAGCCACTTATAGACCAGTGATATACTGCAGTGTGAGCGTGTATCGCGTCACCCATATGCTTGTGTGTGAGAACCAACAAAACCGGGGGACCACTCACAAAAATATACCCCCAGAGTGCTACTAGTGGTAAAAAAAACTCCACAGGGTACCATTTTTTTAAAAGAACATTTCTCTTTCAGCTGTACCCAATATATACTGTACTGCTGGGTTTTCATTTAGTCTCACTCTTTTTTTTTTTTTTTGTTCTGCTCTGCTGCAGTGTTGCATGTTATGCAGAGTCATACATCGTTAGAGTGGTATTTGTGTGTCTTATGTCCCACTTTGTGCGTAGACACATGGACATTGGCTCATAAAATGACACAATAGAACTTATTATAACTGCTATGCCAAAGGTTTCTGTATAGAGTAGATGGTCCGAATAGATTTTGGTGCACCTTACCTGGTTTGGAAAAAGCAGTTCTTTCTCAAACTTACTGAATATCCTCAAAGCTCACAGGTACAGAGATCAATATGCAACCCATATGTTGCATTGCGTTGTGTGTTGACAATGAAATATGGGCTAATTAATCCTTTAATGGTGGTGATTAAGGATCTCATTAGTGTAAAGGTTATGTTTTGCGTGGTGGTGGTGGTATTGCAGGACTTTGCGGGTTTCCTTGTCCGTTCACATTGGGTTTAACAAAAATGAAACAACAGCATTAACAACCAAATCTGAATTACACAAGTTGGAAAAAGTAATTTACATCGATCATTTCAGCAGTTACATTAAATTACAAGCACTTAACATATTAAAAAGGACAAAATAATGTGTTTGTCCAACCCCGAATGCCAGTCTTCAGACCTTTTTTTTTTTGTTGTTGATAGTTTAGCTCTCATTCAGAAGGAACAAAAGCCAGTGAGGTTCCAGCACTTTACTGCCCATGACTCGAAGAGGTGACTCACATTCACATTCCTGAGAGAGTGCTTAGCAGGACGCTGAGAGAGGGGAAAGGCAACAAGAAGAATGAGAGCCCTCGACCACAGGGGCAGACGCAGTTGCAGCTTTGCCCACACATCTGGAGTTACATTCCAGGTTGTTTGAGTTTACAGTAGAGTAGAGAAGCCGAGCTGAAGTTGATTAAGGTGTTTTTTTGAACCACCACCCACCCACATTTTCCCCTGACTGGTCCTTTTTCCAGCCTCCGTTCATCCGCTCTACGTGTTGTACGTGTTGTAGTTCATTACTTGGAGTGTTTGTGTTGTGGTTTGACCCGTTATGAAACATTTTTGGCGTATGGAAATGATTTATAGACAATCCCTGGCAAGTTGTTTGTTTCGACATACCAACTGGTTAAACAAGCACGTCCGGACTAAATATAGGCCCGGAGGAAAATCTACATGGATGCTGTCATCTGTTTTTGCTCCTTCAGTTAAATCCTTATAAAATGATGTAAAATACAGGCCCGTTTAATGAAGTTACAAGATGTATTTATCTCTAAATTGAGTCCGGTGTACTGATTGAAGGGAAGGACATATATATGAGGTATACCAGAACCTACTGTACACATCACCTGAGCAAGATGAATGGCACTTTTCCCTCTCTACCAGCCATTCAGATTTAAGGGAGGGAGTGTGCTGTGCCTGTGCTGGTAATACAAGTGTATGCATGTGTTTGTGTGTCTGTACAGGGACCCTGGAGGGGGTATTGAGATGGCAGACTTCATCAGGCAAGAGACTCCACCGGTGGACTGCAGTTCCAGGAACTCCTATATTGGGATGGAGTCAAACCAGCAGGTAAAGGAGAGCACTGACCTGCTGCCTGCCGCGCTGTATATAAAGATGCCCCTCATTATAACCTTTCTCCTCTTCTTTTTAAGACGAAAAGGCAAAT